TCACTCTGTTGCCCAGGCTGGAGTGCAGTGGCATGCTCACAGCCACCGCAGCCTCAACCTACTGGGCTCAGGCGATCCTTCCCCCGCAGCCTTGCAAGTAGCTGGAACTACAGGTATGCTCATTTTTTAATTTATTGTAGAGATGCGTTCTCACCATGTTGCCCAGGCTGGTCTTGATCCCATGGACTTAGGCAATCCTATCACTTCAGCCTCCCAAAGTGCTGGGATTATAGGTGTGAGCCACCACCACTCCTGGCTTGTTTTCTTAACATTTAAAATTTTGGAATAAAGTAAACATCACTAGAGAGCACAAAGGACAGTCTGCCAGTCGCTTGCTGTACCAGCACCTGGGAGGCCGAACATACATCCCCACCTGTCCTTCACTCCTGTGCCGGCCCAGCCAGCTCCGGCCAGGCTGGACATCAGCTTTGCCCTGCCTGATGTTGGGCTTCCCAGGGTGTCTCAGTTTTCTGTGGGGTGCTCTGTGTCTGTGTGGTGGCCAGGCTCACCTTTTGGCATGTGGTACCCCTGCTGTGGGCTGTCCCTGCTGTGGACAGGCTTGGGAGGGGTCTCAGGGACCCGCCCCTTGTGCTGACTGTTCTGTAGAGGGTCAGCCACACCTTCTCCCAGTTAGTGGCTTGCCACTGAGCTCCCAGAGGCTCCAAGACCCCCGGGTCAAGGGGCCTACGGAGGCCACAGGTGGGAGGGCAGGCCTGCCTTCCTTGGGCCAGGTCCCTTCCCCTCTGGGAGCTGCCAGAAGGACTTGCCTGGGTGCAGCACTGTTGACTGGGGCTGTGGCTTTTGCCGCCTGGAGCCGGGGCGGCCGCTGTGGGCGTGAACAAGGTCAGGGCCTGCCCACCGGGCTCGGCTCAGGATCACCAGACAGCAGTGGGGCTGGCGGAGGCTGGGGAGCCACGATCCTATTAAGTAAAGCACCTTAGCGCCCCGGGCGGGGCAGCCTCCTACGTGCCCAGACGCCCGTGCCAGACTGCCGGGACACCTGGCGCAGAGGCCCGTGTGCGTGGGTGGGGGACTGGTGGGCCAGAGCCGTGCCCAGGGCCCTCGGCATGCTGCCCAGGATTGGGGGGTGTCAGCGTTCTGTTGTTGGGAGCTCAGGGCTCACGACTGGGATCAGCGCTCCCTGCTCAGGGACAGCTCGCAGAGGCCAAGGGCTCTGGTTCTCAGCCTAGCCCTCCCGGCGCCAGATGTGTGCTGGCCTCTGCCCCTGCGTCCCTTGAGCAGACTGGTGTGAGCCCCTTGTGTGTAGTCAGGCCTCAGGGGGTGCTGGTTTGTCCTCCCTGTGTCTGTGAGTGTGTTAAGTGTGACAAAGTCCCCACGTTGCCCGTGAATGGGTGCCCTCTGGCTTGTGTGGCTGCCACCTTCCCAGGAGCCCTGATGCCACTGTGGCCCTTCAGGGAAATGGGGGCTGGAGCCTGCATGGCCCTGCTCCCCAGGGGAGCTAGTGAAACCAAATTTAGCTGTTCAGAGCTGTGGGGATGCCTAGGAAAGCCCCCCACCTGGCCTGGGCTTCCCTGTCAGGGCAGAAGGCCTCGTGTCCTGCTTGTCCCAGTGGATGGTGCTGTCACAGCTGCTGGCTTGGTGTGGACATGGGCAAGATGGAGGATGGGGGGAGCCAGCCAGGGGGCTGGCCTGGCCACTCCCAAGCCTGGGCTCACCTGCTGGCCTTGGTGTGCTCCTCTGGGAGGTGGAATAGAGACCTGGGTGCAGGTGGGGGTTAACTCACAGGAGGCCCCACCTGGTGCATCAACAGCCTCCAAGTGCCTGGGGCCTGCACGAGGGGCGGGTGGATGCCCACAGCCTGGGCCTGTCTGAGGCTGTTGTAGCCCAGGGGGTGGGAGGCCAGGGTGGGGCCTGAGTCTGGGTCTTCCAAGGCCAGGACCAAATGCTGCCTGGTGAGATAACGTGCCCCATCCCCGTCCCTGGTTCTCCCACCTGGAGGACCTTCTGGGAAAGAGGCTGGGCAGTAGCCAGGCCCAGAGCTGGTAGGGTCTCTGCAGGGGACAGTAGAGGGCAAAGAACTGGGGTGCTGGGACCCTACAGCCCTACACCCACCAAGGACAAGTGAGGGTCTCCAGGAAGGCAGCCTCTCGGCGTGCCAGTGGTGAGCTCGGCCAGGCCAGGGGCCAGGGGCTTTGGGGAACGCAGAGGGTCCTGAGGCGGTATAGCCAGAGGTTGGGCAGAGACAGGTAACCCATGGGGTGAGGGCTCTGGCTGGAGAGTGGGCAGCAGACGGGGTGCAGAGCCTTGCTGCGGCCCTGTGGTCCCTGGGAAGAGCACACTCTCCTCACTTGTGTTGTGGGATCGCTGAGACCCTCTCCTGAGGGAGGCCGCCGGAGACCCTGAGCGGGGTGTTCCCGTGAGCCTTTCCTTCCAGGGGAGGTTGCCATGGGGCCTGGGGAGGAGGTTCCCCTAAGAGCCTTTCCTTCTTGGGGAGGCTGCTGGGGGACACAGGCTTCATCACGTCCCCATAGCCCTTGCCGGGTTCCCTGTGGCTTCGATGAGCAGCTAGAGTGGGTTGCCTGCCTCTGGGCACACGCTCATATCCCCGCCTGCCCTGTCTTTGTCACTTGGTCCCTGCTTGTCTTTTTTTTTTTTTTTTTTTTTGAGTTGGAGTCTCACTCTGTCACCCAGACTGGAGTGCAGTGGCCGCTCCCGGCCACCGCAGCCTCGACCCGGTGGGCTCCGGCGACCCTTCCACCTCAGCCTTCCAAGTAGCTGGAACTACAGGCACGCGCTACCACGCCCGGCTAATTTTTTGATTTATTGTAGAGATGAGGTCTCGCCAAGCTGCCCAGGCAAGTCTCGAACCCACGGGCTCAGGCAATCCACTCACCTCAGCCTCCCAAAGTGCTGGGATTACAGGCTGAGCCACCGAGCCCGGCTCTTGCTTGTCTTGGCATTGCTGAGTGGGCTTTGAAACAGGCCTGTCCCCCTGGGGCTGTGACTCAGGGCAGAGGCCCAGCCAGAGGGGGGAGAGATGGGGGTGTGGGGACCTGGAGCCCTCTGGGGGGCTGCGGGGTGGCGCAGCAGGCCAGGGCGTGGGTGTTGCTGTCTCTGAAGTTATTTCTAGGTGTCCTGATCTTGGTCTCTTCCGCCCTGTCCTCTCCTCTCTGCCCAACCTCTCTTTCCCCGTCCCATCTGAGCCCCCGTGCCCAGGGTTATCTCTCTCCGCAGCTGGGGAAGGTGGGGTGGGTGGGGACCAGACACGGTGGACAGAGGGCTGGCCATGTGCTCTTGCTGGAGTGGGCAGGTGAGACCAGGCAGGGGCCAGGGGGACAGGCCCTCCGGGGGTTGGGCAAGACCTGCCTGTGTCCAGGACCCCTCAGGCCCAGCCTGGGAGCTCCTGAGTCTCCTTTTGGGCCCTGCCTGTGAGTGCAGGCAGGTGGGAAGGTGACACCCTAGCTGTGTCAGCTTCAACACCCCCCTGAAGTACCCCTCCTCAGCCCCGGGTGCTCCTTTCTCAGTCTCCCTGGGAGCATCTCTCATCAGCCTTGGGGATCATTCTCCCTAGCTCCCCTGGGAGCACCCCTCCTCAGCCCGCCCCCTTGATGTCCTCCTGCAGTGTTCTCGCCTGGCCACCAGTCTCTGCTGGCACAGCTCTGGGGCACGGGGTGTCTTGAGTTTTACATTCCAGGTATCCCCAGCAGCCCCACGACTGCCCTCTGTCAGCAGGGCCCTGCTGTGAGGCCCGGGAGCCAGGGGCTAGGAAGCGTGGCCTTTGTCCCACTGGGTTGGGGGATGGGGCTGCTTGGGACCCGGGCCATCGGTTCTATGGGCTGGCCCGTGTATGACGGTGGGACCAGCCAGGAGTTTTGGGGGCCTGCAGCCAGGCCCACAGGGACCCTCACAGCGGCTTCTGCTTGAGAGCTCTGGGCTGGCTCTAGGCGGTACTGGAGCCCCTGCGTCTTGAGGGTGTAAGTTGGGGCTCGGGAGGGCATGGGGTCTTCCCTGACAGCACCTGGGAATGGGGGCTGTGCCAGGCAGGGGACTGGGCTTGGTTGTCAAGGCCCCAGGAGGGTGTTTGGGAGGGTGCCACGTGCCACATGCAGACGGGTATCCAGGAGCCAAGACTCAGCGTGCCTTCCTCATCTATGAAATGGGTCGCTGAGAGGAGTGACGTGTAGTGGCCGGCCCCACCGTAGGCAAGGGGTGCGGGTGGTGGCTGTGGGGCAGTGTGGGCGTGGGTGGGGTGTGGCGTGGTCTGGCCTCAGTGGCTTTCTCAGTTTCCTGGGAGCAGGTGAGGGAGGACGCAGGCAGCTCCCCTGGCATGGGTCTGTCTCAGTTGGCGGCGGAGGAGGGTGGCTGGACGCTCCCACCTGAAGCAGCCAGAGTCCAGGGTTGGCAGCTGTGCCCCCACCAGGCCAGGTCTGGGCCTCCGAGCCTGGTCACCCAACAGCACCAACCTGTCATCTGCTGGTGTGGCAAATCTGGAGTCTGGCCTAGCTGTCTCTGCGGCCTGAGGGTCAAGCCTGTCCACCTTCCCTAGCTCAGCCTGTTAGGAGCTGGCAAGATGAACCCTTGGGAGATGGGCTCTCCTCTGATGGTGATGGAAACGCAGACAGCCACAAAACTCGGCAGCCGCGTACCCCAGAATCGTGTGGCCTGCGGGCATCCTCCCCCACTGGTGACTAGCTAAGCCCTGGCCCGGGGCCCGCCCAGGCCTGTCCATGCCCACTCTGCCACAGCCCTGTAGGCTGGTGGTATGTTGAGGGGGCCTGAGGGCCCTGAGGACCCCAGCCACGCGGGCCGAGGCTCATAGTCTGCAGCAACCCCTAGGGGCCGGGGACTCTGGCTCTGCTCACAGCCTCTTCTCTGTCTTGCAGGAAATGGCCAACTCCGTCTACCTGGTCATGGAGGTAAGTGCCCGTGGGGCCGGCTGGCAGGGTGGAGGCCGGGATGAGCTTGGAGCTGGGCAGGAGGCCGAGGACATGCCTCCATGGCCTTGACCCTGGGAACCACCGAGGTAGGGACATGGCAGGATGAGAGGGGTTTAGACAGTGCCCATTGGGAAATCATGGCAGTGACACCTGCTGCAGGGGTCAGGGTCCTTCAGGACCTGGGGGCAGCATCCAGGTGTGGGGGTGGGGAGACAGCATGGGGCGGCAGGGTTCTGGGCCCTGGGCTGCTACTGATAGCATCTCTGGTCTTTGCAGTACTGCAACGGCGGGGACCTGGCCGACTACCTGCACAGTAAGTGGACATACCCAGCTGGGGCCCAGAGACTCATGCCCAGGGTTACTTGGCCCAGCCTGGGATGGCCCAGGGTGAACATGCCCCCTACTGCTGGCAGTTTGGCCATTCTTGTCCCCCAGGGCCTCCCAGGATGGATGGGAGGGGTCCCAAGCTGTGTCAGGCCACCAGGATGCTGGGTGTCCTTCCCAATCGCACGTAAGGAGACTGCTGTGACCAGCACAGTCAGGACTCTGGTTGAGTGGGGCAGTGGGAGCAGGGTGGACAGTGAATGTGCGGAGGGTGGGGGACACCAGGCTACAGCTTTCATCCTGTGACTGGGAGGCAACTGTGACCTTGGGAGGAGGGATGCGTGTGCATGGGTTGGGTGGTCCAAGGCCGGGGGTGTGGCCATAGCCCAAGGCTGGTACCCAGCGCTCACTGGGGATGGGAGACAGGCCCGACCTCATCTAAGGGTGCAGGTGCTGACCTTGACACCGTCCCCATGGAGGTGAGGATTCCACTTTGGGGACATACACTGAGGCTATAGGCCCATTTCCAAGATGCGCAAGCCACCGAGTCTTGGCCTCCAGAGCTGCTTGTTGGCTGGGCATGCCGGAACCTGTGGCCAGATTCAGGGAGAGGAGGGACCACCAGTGAAAGTCTTGGGCCTCCAGCGCTGAGAGGAGGGAGAGGAGGACCCGGTGGGGCTGTGTGGGGAGCGATGGCTATGGGCTGCTCCCACCCCTGCGCAGGAGGTTTCTTTCTCACGTCTCTGCCCCTGTGCTGGGGCCCTGGTCGGGAACATACTGGCTGTGGCTGAGCCATCTGGGCTGACTCTGGGCTGTGGGTCAGGCCGCACATGCTAAGGGGCTGATCCTGGGGGCTCGGGCTGCCAGTTCTGCCTGGCACACCATGTGGCCAGGGTGTGCTGGGTGGTGTCGCCAGTGTTTACTCTCAGTCCCGGGGCTGCCATGCTGCCTGCTGGGGCCGTGGCCTTCAGCGACAGGTGATTCCTGGCCAGGGTTCAGGCTCCAAGGCGCTGGGTCTGTCCAGGCCAGCTTTGGGTGTCCCTACCTGAGAGGGAGGCAGGGAGGCAGGCTTGGGGGAGGCTCAGGGCGCCCGTGTGGAGGGCTGGTGGGTCTTGGGGCTGGTTATGAGGCTGCAGGGTGCCTGCATGTCCCTGAGGTGTGTGTCTGCACACGCCCGAGTGCCTGAGTTCTCGAGCTGAGGTGAGCCTGATCCTAGGCAGTGAGGCTTGGGGCCTGGTTTTGGGTCTCCGCATGAGGTGTGTGTGTGGTCACAGTATGTCTCGGAAGCAGATTGTGTGCTGGGGTTTCTCTGCCTGTCTTGGGGGCTCATCTCTGCCATTTCCCTGCCCCTCCCTTGGGGTTGGCTTCTTTGCACAACTGGAACTTCCATATCTAGCCATGGCAGGTGGTGGGCAGGGCCTGTTGGGCTCCTGCTGAGTCCTCAGGGTCACCCACCTCATTCACTTAGTGAAGGGGGGCCAGCACAAAACTGAGGACTGTACAGGCTGCTGGCCTTGGGAGAGGAAGACGTTAAAGGGCAGAACTAGCTGATGACTGACCATGAGGAGCAGCATGCGTGGGGCTGGCAGTGGGGAGGCAGGCAGCGAGGCATAAACCTTCCCCTGCGTGTCTGAATGGCGGGCCGAGACCTGGAAGGGCCCACCCGTGGGTGCTGTGGGAGGAGGCGGGGGTGGGCCCAGTGGGTTGTGAGCAGGAGGGGGCAGCAGCCCCGACAGTGGGACAGTGCCCTGTCCATGGGGAGGGCTGGGCCGGGTGCCTGCTGAGCTTGTCCCTGTGGAGGTGCTGGGGAGCATGTGGCCGGTGCCCCCTGAGCCCACATCTCTTTGCAGCCATGCGGACGCTGAGCGAAGACACCATCAGGCTCTTCCTGCAGCAGATTGCAGGCGCCATGCGGCTGCTGCATAGCAAAGGCATCATCCACCGCGACCTGAAGCCCCAGAACATCCTGCTGTCCAACCCAGGGGGGCGCCGCGCCAACCCCAACAATATCCGCGTCAAGATCGGTAAGGCCTGTGGGGCTGTGCCCCCGGCAGGCGACCCCAGGAGGCGGGCGACCCCCGCGGCGGCCATCCTGATGCCCTTCTCTCCTGCAGCCGACTTCGGGTTTGCCCGGTACCTCCAGAGCAACATGATGGCAGCCACGCTCTGCGGCTCCCCCATGTACATGGTGCGTGTGCAGTCCCTGCCCACGAGTGCCCAGGGCTGCGGGTGGGGCACTGTGGCTGCACCTGGTGTTTTCCTGCCAGGTCGACTCAGATTGGCTGGTGTCTGCTGATGGGCTGGTTCTGGCAGGCGTCTGCACTGATTGGCTGATGCCTAGCAGGTGTATATTCTGAATGACTGGTGTCTGGCAGGCGTGTACCTGGCAGGTGTCTGGGGTTTGGCTGATACCTGGCTGGCTTTTGCTCTGATTGGCTGGTGTCTGGCAAGTGTCTGCTGATCGGCGGGTGCCTGGCTGGCTTTTGCTCTGATTAGCTGGTACCTGGCAGGCATCTGCTCTGATGGGCTGGTGCCTGGCTGTTCTTGGTTAGGGTGTTCTTGTGTCCCAAGTGCTGGCCTGTGCTCTGACCCGTAGGCCCCAGAGGTCATCATGTCCCAGCACTATGACGGGAAGGCAGATCTGTGGAGTATCGGCACCATCGTGTACCAGTGCCTGACAGGGAAAGCACCCTTCCAGGTGAGTACCTGGCTCAGAGGACAGGAGACCTGGGCTACTTGGCCTCCAGGGGCCTAGTCAGGGCAAGGATGACACCCCAGCTCATCCTGATGAGCTGTGTTCTCTCCTGGCCTTGAGAGGGCCTCGCTGGGACCCAGGGCACTTGTGCGTGTGCTGAAGGGGCCTCCTGACCTCCCTGCCTCCTGTGGGTGGCTGTGTCCCCCTACATGGTACTAAGCCCCCAGAGCGAGGGTGCACCATGTGCAGAAAGCCGTGTCCTGCAGTGGGAGCTCAGAGGACCTGGGCCATGTGTGACCCACGGGGCTGGGCTGAGCCGCCCTTGCTGGAGGCGGTTCCTGCAGTGCCTCTGAGCCCTCGCCCTTCACCCCTCACCCTTCCCTGTCTGGGATGCTCCACTTCCCCCTGGGATGTCACCCCGCCAGGCACTGCTGTAGCCCTGGTGTCTGGACCCAGGCCTGGCCCACAGCAGGTACTCGGGGAGTGACCATCTGAACATGTGGACACTGCATGTGCTCGGCCTGGGCCCACCAGAAGAGTCAGCCCTTATCCCGGGACCCCTTTCTAGGGTGGGCATGGGCACTCAAGTTGCAGGATGCGCCCGGTGCCCCTCCGGCCCCTCCCAGTCCACCAGCTGCCCTGTGCATCCCCTCCACTCCACCGTGTGGGGGGGGGCGTTTGCACATAGGCCTGCCACCTGGCCTGGCAGTCTTGGCACAGGCTGGCTGGGGACAGGGCTGGGTCCTGCAGAGCCCGCCTGAGGCAGGATCCTGGCTCACACCATTCTGCCCCCAGGCCAGCAGCCCCCAGGACCTCCGCCTTTTCTATGAGAAGAACAAGACACTGGTCCCCACGTAAGTGCCCCCCCACCCTCCAGGGTGCTGACTCCCTGTGGGGTCCATTCCCCAGTCAGCCTGGTCTCCTCTCGGCCCCTCCCAGCATCCCCCGGGAGACCTCCGCACCCCTGCGGCAGCTGCTTCTGGCCCTGCTTCAGCGAAACCACAGGGAGCGCATGGACTTTGGTGAGTGTGGGGAAGCCTCTGGGGCCTGTCCACCCCAGGGCCATCTGCGCCCACTCCCCAGGAGGTGGACCCCTCTAGGCCAGGCGTGGGCACCCAGGCCTTGGGCTGGTGGTGAGGTCGTTTCCTGAGTGCCATTCAGCTGGAGGCACCGTGGGGGAGACCCCCTGGCCGGCCCAGCGGGGTGGGCGGTGTGTTTTGGGCTTTTCCTGGGCTCCACCCCGTGCCCCCGCTGGAGTCCAGGCCCTGGGGATGCAGAGGCCCTGCGACAGCCCTTCTGAGTCCTCCTCCCTCTTGCAGATGAGTTCTTCCGTCACCCATTCCTTGATGCCAGCCCCTCAGTCAAGAAGTGTGAGTCTGGGTTCCAGGTCTCCTGCAGGCTGTCTTCCTCCTTCAGATCTGGGTCTGGGCTGGAGAGGGGGCAGAGGGAGCCGGCCTGAGGCATGACCCTGCCAGGAGGCGGTACAGTCCTCGACTCCTGAAGCTGGGCCCATGACCAAGGGGTGCATGTGCTAGCTGTGGGCTGGGCATGGGGGGGATTGGAGGTGCCCAGGATGGATGAGGGTCACCCATTGTATGCGCGGGTCTCTGCCACGGGTAGCTGGGAGGTGACGCCTTCCCTCCTGCTGGTTGGGGCATGAGGGGTGGTGGTGGGGACGTGTTGGGTTCTGGCCTGAGTCTTGGACCCCAGCATAGAGGTGGGGGGACACTCAGGACTGATCCTACCTCTGCAGCCCCACCCGTGCCGGTGCCCTCGTACCCAAGCTCAGGCTCTGGCAGCAGCTCCAGCAGCAGCTCCACCTCCCACCTGGCCTCCCCACCGGTGAGTGTTTCCTGGACTTCAGCTTCTGCCTTGTCTGTCTCCAGCCCTAACCTCTTGGGTCCCACCTGGTTTCTGTTATCTGAGTCTGTTCTGCTGTGCAGCCTTGTTGCGTTGGACACGCGTGACAGCCCTCAGCGTCGGCCCCACCCCAGTTTTGGGGGCCACGTGGCAGCTGTGTGACTTTCTATACGGTGTGCATGCCGCACACATGCAGACACACTGAGTCTGGGGTCCTCCATCCTACTCCATCCTGGGCACCGAGTCTCCTGGGGGGCTCACAGCATGTCTTGGTGGGTGATACCCCTTGACATGGGCATGGCCTGCAGGTGTTGCACCGTGGCTGGAGTCCCTGGCTCCCGGGAGTGGGGCTTGCGGCAGGCACTGGGGAGTTGGCGTTGGGGTCCCTTGGCTGCCCCGTGCTGGGCATGGGGTCCCTGAGCCTGGCCCACCGGCCTCCTTGGCCCCCAGTCCCTGGGCGAGATGCCGCAGCTGCAGAAGACCCTGACCTCCCCAGTCGATGCCGCTGGTTTCCTGCATGGCTCCCGGGATTCAGGCGGCAGCAAGGACTCTTCGTGTGACACGGATGACTTCGTTATGGTCCCGGCCCAGTTTCCAGGTTTGGCCTGCAGGGGTGGGTGGGTGGGGTGGGGTGCA